GCTTTATTATATGCATGAAATTACTGGTGGAATCGTGCAAGTAATCTTTCCAGGTTCAGGCTTACTCATCCTTGTAAACAGCCTAAGCTTTGTAATGGTGGTCCACAGAAGCTCCAAAGAGCTTCTGGATCGTCTTGAAATGTAATACAATCGAACAGTTGAAGCGTATTAGTGACTACTTCTCGAGGAAATAAAAGATTGAATAATTTGAAGTTGATAAACATGTGAGGAACTCAAAGATGGAACACTGAGATATCAAAATGTATACATAGAATATACACCAGAATTTCGTGGTATTTGAAAATAAAAATTGACAGTGGCATGGTCTTGTAATTTTAGCCCACCCTGTATAGTCAGGCAAAGTCTTCCAATTCCAGTTTTCCTAATAACCAAGAGAGAAAGATAAAAAACCTCTATCTCAATAGAAATTCGGTATTAATATTCAAAAGCTAGAAAGTTGGTGATAATGTGAGACTTGCTCCCAGCTCATTTTCTATTTCAAGATTTTTCGAAAACGTCGTGGAAGGCAAGCTTCTGGAACATCTGTAGGTGGATGTATTCTTTTCTGGAGGGGTACATGCATAGCTGCTCAGTGGTTCAATGGGATCTTTCGCAACATAGTTCGCGTTTCTCCGCGTCATCATCATGATCTGGAGCCTTCCTTCACGTCATACTCTTTTAAAGATGGGTCGGTAGTATTGTGCCCACTCATCAGGTTTTTTCGTGTACACACTGTCTACGGTTTTCTTGCCACCTTCTACACCGAACATTTCCCTTCAAGCGCCTTCATCTCTCCCTATACCTTCAAGACCTTCAAGTCATCATCGGCATGGCGAACCAATGTGTGACCAACGTTAATTTCCGTGCCAAATGAGAGTGAGTAAAACGTGCAAACAATGTACTAACGCGAGCTCTCCAAGTTGCGAATTGAATGGTATAAATTAGTTCAAGTTTATTTCGCAAAGCTGTATGCGCGTATTGATGAGTTTTAACTTCCATGTTGTGCTAGAATGTGAAGTAATTACAGGGTGATCGATGTCGGCGGGCAGCGCTCCGAACGAAAAAAATGGATTCATTGCTTTGACAATGTAAATGCAATTATTTTCATTAGTTCTCTTTCTGAATATGACCAGACATTGCGAGAGGACAATTGCACGGTGAGTGAGCTATCATTTGTGTTTTCGTTGTCCCAAAAGGTCGGGTTGTTGAGCCTTACTGTGTTTGAAGAGTTTTGGGCAGTAAGCGATATTGTTGGCAAGTCCCCTGCATAAAGACACACGAGCTTGCCCCCCCCCCCCGACAACTGCGATACCATCCTCCCTGTGAAAGCTTTACACCTTCCACTTGTGACATCAACCCCTCGCCCTCTTACTATTGATTCCTAGCCATGTTACCTTATATTCCGTAGATGATCCAGTTTCACTAAACCCTCCACGTGATGCGCACGGTAGTGAGCAGAGCTAATCTGGTGTTGCGATACAATATGGAAGGAGGGGAGTTATGTCCACTACAAAAAAAAGCAGACACCAAAAAAGCGAGTAGAGACATGTATGCAACAAAGAGCGCGCCCTCAACCACGCGACTGACCCCAATCCTGGCAGGCGCCACCCTATGGCGTGGCCTGCCTCCAGGTGCAGAACTCGGGCTGTGATTGGTAAAATGGTGATATTGTTATCGCTGCACTCTTCATCCAAAAGGCCATTTAGTGAAAAGCGGTCGTATTTTTGAGTTTTTTCTAGGTAATGCATTAGCAATGAAGGATGGTATTTGTTGGTTTGAAACCGGCTTTCGAGATAGACGTATGTGAACGAGCTCGGCTTGGTCACTGCTTGTCTAAATAGGAGTCAAAAGGAATTAGGAGGGCCCAATTTCGCAGATTTTGAATCGTTTTCTCTTAAATTCTTTTTAGCCAGTGCACCTTTACCCTGTAATTTCAACCTTGATGCATGCTGCAATTTCTTCATAACATCCCGCTTTAACACGTTGAAGACAGGCTGACGGGCATGCGCGTTAGAACATTGTCATTTTTCGTATTCATTCTATAGATGTGAATATGCATACGAAAGATTGTAGAAGCAGTTAATACAAAACTGTGATTTTCAAGATATTTGTATTTGAAAGAAAAACTAAGGTATAAATGCGCTCGCAGAGAAAGTGATGCTTTTTGCTTCTTTGTAGTCATTATGCGTTTTTATAATCAAAAATCTACTGCTACTTATATAGTTAACCTTTATGCTTTTATCTTGGACGAAGTCATCCTGTGAGATTAAGTTGTTGTGCATTTTGAACAAAAAATAAGCGGAAGTAAGGTGAGCACGGCGCGTCGCAAAATTGCTCTTGCCCGACGCGGGCAAAAATCTCAAAACACGCTAATGTCCTCAACGTGTTAAGGCACGCTTTCTGCCTCACTGGAATCTCATTCTGTCCAACCGGCAGGTATAGGACGCACGCGTTTTGTCGCACCGTCTGCCGTCTCTTTACAAACGGCGTCTCTGCGTCTATTCTCTGAAACGATCAAGTGACTGCTTGACTCTCCCCTGTACTCTCTGCCGTGAAGGGCGATAGCGCAGACGATAAGGGAACAGTACCTGGCTCGGCTCCAAATCCCAAGCAGAGAGATGGGAACCCTAGGACTGAGCCCTAGAGGAAGGGCGGTTTCCGGATTGGAAAAGCCAATTACTTCTTGGCAAAGTTCGATTGCATCAGATCACAGTAATCACAAGCCGCTGTTAAAGCGAGAGAGCGCAGCCGAGAGCATCAAATCGCGGTGGTTTGAAGGAGTGAGTTCACGTTGTCCGTTGAACGCGAGAGTGCAAATGCGAGAGCACGTCTTCACAGTAGGGCCCTTGGCCTGTTGCCAGCTGTTCCAGCCGGTGCTTCAATGCATTCAAACTTCTGAGGACACCTCTGCAGTATTCCTTTCAGTCGTGGCTACGTGACATGTTGCGAGCCTTCGTAAAACTCCTCATCTTCTATCCACTAAGTTTTAGGCTGGTACTAGACTAGACTGTACTGCTCAGGGACGTTTCTCGATTTTCCGAGCCTATCAGCCTCTATTTGGTGCCTTCAGCGCTTTGAAATACCTTTCAACTCCATGCTACTTTTGCGTGGTGGGATTCTTTTAAGGTGCTAACTTAGTTGGAGGAACACGCGGCGGCGCCGCGCTCTGTTCGTCTGCTCCTCTAAGGCTTGATCTAAGGGGCGATTACTATTTCGTCGCCATGTGGCAGTTTCGAAAGGCGCGCCATCGGCGGACTAAGCCTTGAGGAACAGACGAAGGGAGCGCCACGCCGCCGCGTGGTCCCCTCCCCAACTAAGTTAGACCTCTTTTAACACGTTGGAGACCGCGCACGTTTTACGTATTGCGGCCGCTTGCGACTTCTATGGATTTTTTAGGAATTTTGTCAAACGAATTGGTAGTAAACACCTATTGACTGGCTCAGAGGAAAGCTTAGTAAGTGCAATGAAATGAAAAACAAAAAAACTGGAAATTTTTTCCCCAAAATCTGGGACATAAGGTCCATACTGGTAACTGACTGCAGCCCACATATGGGCTGCATGGGCTCCAAGGTGTTAATTAGCGTTACTGTGCAAGTGTATGAATGGCTACTTAAAAGCATGATTGAGCATGAGTATTTTTGGTGCATAATGTACAACATGAGTATATCCTGTGCGTATACGTAGGAGTATGAAAGCAAGTATTAATTGTGTAAGTCTATGATCATGTCCATTATTTTGATTTAAGTGAGTCAGAAGTATCATTATTCTGAGAGGCTAAGTCGGAGACTGGAAAGTCATTCTACAACCTGACTGTTTCTCGGAATTCTCCTCGTCGGCGCTGATTTCCTAAGGGGAGGGGGGGGGACATTCAAAACAGGGCCGATGGTAGCCGACAGCTTCTTCCCATAAGGCTTAGCCCCAATTGGTCCCAAGTACTCTAGTGATACTCACTTGAAGTCCCCTCCCCCCTCCCCCCAGCGACATGTCCGCCACATCCTTTACCCATTTAATGAGTAACTTGAAAACTATTCGGCGATTCTGTTCAACAATGAAGCTCCATCAGAATTGCTGCACCTTCTCTTGACATGTCTTTACCACGTGAGAGATGGCTCTGGAGGAGAGCGCAGACGACAAGCGTACACGCCCCGTTCCCACTGGGCGCGAACTCTGCAGCCAGACCTTATGTTCATCTGACCTCTCCCCACGAGAGATTTCCAGGTTGGCAGAAGCCTTGTAACAGATCTCACTTATGGCTTGCGGGGCAGATGCTGGAGCGTGTTAGATCACTGGGTCCTCCCACTCTTGAACTTGGCCTCAGTCGTTGCCATAAAAATTGAGAGAGCGCAAACGATTAGGAAATCGCGCCCAATGGCACCGTTCCCGCAAATTAATGCCCTATTTGTGATCAGGATTCCAAATCACGAATCTATATTCAACTTAGGGGGAAAACCAATGGCGTCGGGACGTCAGTGCCAAAATTCAATGTACTTTTGTTGTTCACATTGTGGTGTAAACCCCTATTTTGTCTCAGGTTTGACAGCTCCACTCCCATCAATATAGGATCGGGCGCTCATCCGGTAAGAGGGGGTGGGGGCGTAGAGATTTAGAGCATTTCAAACCAAGGAAAGCATATTCTTTCATTTAAACGTTCAGGACTAAGCACTAGAAAGGAAGGAGCCCCCGGGTCCGTGAGCAATCTTGGTTTTCCCCGGGGACTTCCTCCCCCTCCTAGGCTTAATCCTGACCTGCTGACTAGGTGAATATTACTTTTCGTAGACGTTAATGTCATCTATTATAGTACGTACATGACACGAAACATTTGAAGAAATAGTATAAGAAAAAAGCTGACGGCAGCTCGTAACTTTAAAGGAGTTCATGAGCTAAATTGGCATTAGAGCAGATAGTGCACCGCAGTGCCCCATCTTACTGGATGAGCGCCAAGGATCGAATTTCTTGAATAATTGGATTTTGCTGTTGATTTTTCTCATTTGCAGAATCGCATGCAGGAGTCATTGAAGCTGTTTGATTCGATCTGCAACAGTCCTTGGTTTGCCGACATTCACTTCATCTTGTTTTTGAATAAGAAAGATTTATTTGCTGAAAAGATCCAGCGCAGTCCCTTGACGATCTGCTTCCCTGAATACAAAGGCCAACAGAATCAAACGGAATGCATCAACTACATCCAGTGGAAATTTGAACAACTGAACAGGTCCTTCTTATCCATCTTTTTCTTTTCAAATGTCTCCATGAATTGACAGTTATTATCTTGTCATGTGGGAATATGGAATTTCAATTCAGCTCGAACTTTTTCAAACAAAACTTAGGAATATTTTCAAGATCAATGTACTTAACCATGACGCTTGAGTAATTCCTGTTTTCCGGCTTATGGGTGGGGTTTTCATTCATTCATTCAGTGGCAAACCGCTCCCGACAAAGAAAACTAGTTCGGTTTGCATGTTGAATTTCATGCAGTTCTCATGGAAGCGCTGCCGAAAAAAAAAACAGTTCAGCACTGTTTTTTTTCAAGCGATTATCAAGAAAGAAAGGTCGCTTACGTGATTCTGCTCTCAATGATTCGGCAGTAAAGGAGCTGGTAGAAGAAAACAGACATACTGCTATAAAACTTATAGTGTCTAGTTGTAGTACTGGGAATAGGGAAATAGGAAAAATTCGACAGATTTACTGCAAGTAACATGCTATAGCGGGGTCGTCCGTGTGAGTGTTGTCGACGCTTCCTTCAGACAAGTGCATCCTTTTCTTGCAAGTTTTGTGACATACGACTGGAATTGGATACTTCATGACGATCGGATACGATCCGCTCAGTGGTTGGGCCACATTGAGGGGACCCATTCTCCCAAGCCAAAAGCTTGCCATGCGAAGGTCATTTTGAGCGTATAGTGGTCTGCTTCAGACCTTATTCACGTCAGCTTCAGAAACTCTGTATAATTTGCTGCAGAGGAGCGATTCGAGATGAACCGAGTGGATTGTTGGACCAAGTCATCTACTCGGTTCCAATTCAACTACAGAGCCCAGCCTTACTTTAACACGTTGACGACATCGCGCGTTTTGGGTTTTTGCACCTCGTGGGACAAGGGCGCTTTTGCGAGCGCGGCCGTCTCACCTCACACGCGTGAATTTCCAATGATAAGTTTGGGATGCTTCACATGTACGTAACCATTTCAGCAGTATTCAATGCGTAGAAAGTAATCGAAGTTATAGTAGCGAAATTTCGATCAAAATACGTGAATTGGTGAAGAAAATTGGAATTCAAGCCCTTTTCTCTATAGCGGATGCCGAAACTATTTTCGATGTGGATGTGTCAAGTGAAACATATATCTTTCTATCCCTTTAAGTTATTATTTACTTTCACTACTTTTTCCCACTGACATGTTCATCAGACTAGGAAGAAAACGAGGGATGAACCGAGCTCCCAATTTCGCTGTGCTTAAAAAACTTCTGCTAAACTGGAGCATATTCGATCACCTTGTGACCCATGTCGTTTACAGTTATGTTATGTTCTATTCCATAGAATGGAGGCAAGCAAATTGGGAAGAATCCCCGCATACGCTAGAAAAAGGGGTAGCAAGGGTGAGACGCGTTACCGCGTCTCAATGTCCCACGAGGTGCGCAAAGTGAGACGCGTTACCGCGTCTCAATGTCGTCAATGTGTTAAAAGACTCATTCTCGTCACAGCAACGCGCACACGTCGCAGAAGTGGTGCACTGAAACCCCAACAAGTTATGATACGAGCATGGCAAGCATTAAGCATTGCCTCACCCATTCCTATTACCGCACCTCTCTCCTCACCGATTACTATTGTACTTCGTGAATCCCGACAGCTCAAGGCAACAGGAGTTCCAAAAGAGTCAAACCCAAGTGAGAACTGACTTCAACGATTTCATTGTGTCTTGGAACTCCAGAATTTTACTCAAGAGGAACACATGCATGTTTACCTAGATCGCAAAGGGTCTAGTATGTTTACTCCGATTGTTAATGTTTGCGTGGAACTGAGATATGTTGTGCCACAAATAAGGTTTGGAAAGTGACAATATTTTTCCAGACAACCTAACACCTAGGAAATGATGTTATAATATATTAGATGACTTTCTTGTATTTTCTTTTTCTTCATACTATTTTGAAATTTTTAGGTCGTCACAAAGGGAAATATACTGTCATCACACCTGCGCTACTGATACAAATAATGTGCAGTTCGTGTTAGACGCTTGCCTGGATATGATCATCGCCAAAAACCTCAAGAGTATGGGATTGTGCTGAAGTGAACTTCCTTAGATGAGATTGTTTATTGCTTATGATTGTCATGGGAATCTGGTCATGAGTCACTGATGCGTTGCATTTTGGGAAAATTCTTCTAACCATGAGAATTCCTCTTGAAGGTTGAGAGCAATGGAAAACATTAAACGCGTTCTAATCTTTACGATACGCCTTTTTGTTTATGAAGTGAATAATTTTTTAAAGCATGTGATCAAAAGTGGTTTTAGCAGAGGGGAAATGTCAACTTCATATGTTTTTGAAAATTTGTTGGCAGCCAATGGAACGATGTATTTTTTGTATTTGTTCTCATTGTACACTATCCATCGAACTGGTTCTGGGTTAAAATTCGTGATACAATATCGGCTGATTCTGTTGAATGACCCTTTGGCATACGTTGCAGTGTTCTCTGGGTGAATCATGGCTGCTTGGCGCCGACCATGAGTCCTCCTTTTAACGTCACTATCAGATGTATAAGCTCATTTCTCGTTTATCTATTGGTTGTTGTTGCTGTACCGCGCTGTGCACTGAGTAGTGCGCAGTATTGAGTGGTTCCGGTATCTAATCAAAGAATCTCGTTACTTTATGATCTCCGTTCATCCATTATTGATCATTGTTCTCGAACTCTATAGTTGTCTATCCACCTGCACCGTACGGTTCTAGTAAACATGTCCATGAATGTTTTTTTTGCCTCCTCTTTACTAACATTATCTAGGAGTTCTGGCTCATCAGAGACTTTGCTTAAACGAACTTGTCAATCCCCAGTAGCACCTTTTCTGTTTCTCATAAGTAGCGTTCTTTTGGATGATATAGTTGCCGAACGAGGCAGCAAGTCTTTAATGTCCTAATATTTGTTGTTGAGAATGTTTTAGGTATAAATTTACGTTTTGCTATTAATTGAAAGTCAGTAGACAACCAGCATAGATATTTAGGTGCTATACAAGTGGGGTGAGCACGCCGCACTTTTTGATCAGAAATGTACGTAAGGGACGGTGAGGATCTGTTCGAAGTCGCCTCCCTCTCGCTTGACATCAAAGTGTTGAACTGACATTATCTATCCATAGCAAGTTGGCCGCAACCGCCGAGACACTGGGGCAAAAATTCACCATGCACTACACTGCGTTCAATAATGATACAGCCACCTAAAATTTGTTCGAAATCTTAAAGTTCACAGAGTTTGTGAAAAACTCTCCGGATAGAAAATGTGAGGAATTTCATGACGAGTTTAGATATCAACACAAAAATCCATCTCGAAAACACTGAAAAATTTTATGCTTATTTTTTCAGAAAAGGTCCATTTTCCTATGTTCAAAAATGATACAGCCACCCCGTGTTTCTTCGTTTAAATCCATCTTTGCTTCATGAAGGTTATTCGCAGTTATCAGACTTTCGCCTTAGTGTTCCCACAAGATAAAAAAGACAGGTTGGTTTTGAAAAAAGGTGAACTGTAGCAAAAAAGGACCAGGAATCGTCAAGCAGTCATATTGCGCAAAAATTGTGTCAAAGCTCCAATACGTTTAACAATCTTGGGCACATTGAGCTTGACAACCCCAGAGGGTGTGAGATGGATCAAATATTTTTTTTCGCTGAAAACTTGCGCTAGGGGGGTTATCGAGGCTCCTGATCACGAATATGACCTTAGTTTTTGGCGCTGGCGCCAAAGTGGCGCTATTTGGCGCCATTTGGCGCCAAGGGTGTTCTCACCAAAATTCGCTGTTAAACTTGTGGATAGGGGTTATCGAGGCTCCTGATCATGAATATCACTTGTTTTTTGCCTCAATTTCTCTAGGACGCTCGAAATAGATGTCATCTAGGCGCTCATCCAGTAAGGGGGCATCAAGTGGCTGCCCTCACCCCCGCCCCCTGAACTGGCTTCACTCCCCCCGGCTCACGGGGTCCCGTACTCCGAGAAACGTTCAAAACCGCGTAGAGCATCTGTTTGTTGTTGAAGTCGCGCCATCGCAACTGCGTTCATTCAAAACTGCGTGAGACATTGGTCTCTTGTTGAGGTCGGGGGTCTAAGCTTTATGTTCAGGAGGAGGAGGAGGAGAATGTGCAGTATTTACAGTGCTCGGTCGCACGCATGAGAGGACATCCCCCATAACTAACCAGGAAAGGCATTCAACTTCCCATGGAAGTTTGAGATAAGACCCAGATATATCTATATAGCTTCATATGCTGATTACAAACATGGAAACTAAAACTGCAAAATGAGCCTGCCAAGGAAGTTGTGAGCAGTCAAAGTTGGCTGGAGGTAAAGCATTACACTAGCCTTTGGGCTTTCAAAGTCGTCGTGGACTAGTGGTAGTGCTCTCGGAATTTGCGCTTTGACGGAAGGAGAGCTTCTGACTCCAGGGTGAATAGCGAGGGCACCACTACTGCTCCGCGGTGACTATGAAAGCCGGGAGGCTAGTGTGATGCTTTACTTCCAGCCAACTTTGACTGCTCACAACTTCCTTGGCAAGTTCATTTTGCAGTTTCAGTTTTTATATTTGTAATCAGCGTTTGAAGCTCTATCGATATATCTGGGTCTCATCTCAAAGTTCCGTAGTTCCGTGGGAAGTTGAGTGCCTTTCCTGGTAAGTGCAGAAGGGGGCAAATTAGCATGCATTGGAAATATTGGGTTGGAGCATAATATCGTAGCGTTTTTTTTCGAGCGGAGAAATTCATTCAGTACAAGTGAAACCCTAAAAATCGCCTACTCCTTTTGAAAGTGCTTGTTTTGCTCTACAAAAACCAACTCGTCATTTCCCTCAAAATTATATTTGTACTAATTCATAATGCTTAGAAGTTGGAAAATGCAGACGACGGAAATCGGCATTTCGACAGCTGCTATTTTTCAGTTCACATAAAGAAAAAAATACCGTCAAAACAAAAGTTCTTCAGAATCCATTGTTCTCATCGAACCTCTTTCTCACAAACCCTACATGTTTCACTCAGATTAAGACCGTATTCATGTCGTACAAATTGCAAAATAATGAGGACTTCGAGAGCGAACCCAACATCTTTTTTTTCAGTTTCAAATCCGGTGACTTTTTGCAAAATAGGATGAAAGTCGTAAATAATGGCAAAGTGGACATCCCTGATTAGTTTTGTGTTTTTGATTTCTTCTCAAAACTTTTGCGTGCAAAGAAAAATGCAAGCGCTACGATATTGTGCACCAACCCAATAAAGAAACAGTATCGTTCGAAATAAAAAATTTTAAGGGACTTTCGTCCCCGCAACCATTTGGGGAAGCATACCTTACGGCCTTGAAGTTTCCTCCTCCACCTGCAAGGCTTAGTCCCTCTTTTGAAGAAAACGGAATGTTTCGCGAGGTTTTGAGGGCATGTTTGCAATAGTGCTTCATTGAAATTCGCATTCTGCCTTTTCTGTGTCTGCGACGATGCTCCTTCACTTATTGTGTCGCGGCGCTATCCTAAACTCCTGTGTGAACGATGAGTCGTGACACCAATCACCCTTCACTGAAAACTGATCAGGTGTGAGAACAATCACTCTTCCCTGCACAGAGACGGCAGGGCAGCACTTTGATTTGAAAAGCATATGGGTTCTTCGCAAATGAATCCAATTAATTGGATT